GCTCGCGTTAGTGACCAAAGGAAATGACCACCTTGGATCGTTGTGTTGTGGGGGAAGAGGACCGGAGTGTGAGGAAAGACGACCTCCTGGCCACTCTGTTAAGTCAGCTGGAGCAGTTGAGGAGTGAGATGGACGCTCTAAAGGGGGAGAAGGAAGCCCTCAGGACTGAACTCCTTCAGGTAGGGGTCCTGCCTAGCAGGACACCTGCGAAGGAGGAGCAGGCCTGGAGAGTGGTTGTTTCCAAGGGGACTACGGTCAGACTCAGGAAAGCTGACCAGGGTGTGAAGTGCAGTAAACCCTACCAATGTGTTGGAGGGAGCTGGCGGGGAAGAGAAGAGGAAGGACGAGGAAGAGAAGAGGCTGGACGGTGTGGTGCCAGGAGAGGAAAGGGCAGTTGTACAAACCCTGCCCAGTGGTAAGGTCGTGGTAGTTGGGGACAGCCAGGTGAGGTTTTTAGGTAAAACTTTTTGTGAAAGAGATAGGAAACGTAGGACTAGGGTGTGTGTTCCTCGGGCTGGGATAGGGCGTGTAGCTGAGAGGATAGATAGGGTTTTGTCAGGGGAGGGTACCAATCCAGTAGTGAGTCTTAGTGTGGGAGGAAACATAGGAAAGGTTAGGAGTGAGGAACTTTTCAAGAGGTATAGGGAGGCGCTGGGGAAGATTAGAGATAGGGGAGGGATCCCGATAGTATGTGGTGTCTTGCTTAGAAGAGGGGTTGGTCGTGAATGGCTGTCCAGGGCAATTGCTATAAATTGCCGACTGGAAAAACATTGTGCAAACAATGGTTGGGCATTCATTGGTAACTGGCAACTATTCTATGGCAACGACTACCTGTACAGTCGTGACGGAGTACACTTGTCTCGTGCGGGGGTAAAGACGTTGTCTGCATCCCTGGAGCGTGAAATTGTCACTCCAAAGGGGGGGTTTTCGTCAGTAGAGAGAGGACGGGGTAAGTGGGAGTCAAAAAACAAGCAGGTCCTGGGAAGTAAAATTGGTTACTCAGGACAAGGGGTAAAACAGGACCAGGGAAGGGTAGGTTTAAATGTATACTATACAAACAGTAGGAGCGTTAGAAATAAAATAGACTTGCTGAGAGCGGTTGTATGTACCGAGAATGTAGACGTCATAGCAATCACCGAAACTTGGATGAATCTGGCAAAACTTTTTTTATCAGAGTACCACATAGAAGGGTACAACCTTTTTCACAAGGACAGGGAAGGTAGGAAGGGGGTAGGGGTCGCACTCTTCGTCAGGGACACGTTAAAATGTTGTATTAATAATTCAATAAAGGGTGACATAGGAACCGAGTCTGTATGGGTAGAAATTACGGGAGGTAGAGAAAAAATAATTATGGGAGTGATTTACAGGCCCCCCAAGTCTTGGGAAAGAAGCAGCTCAGCTCATATGGCAGGAAATGAGTAGGGCAGCAAAATATAACAACCTGTGCATTATGGGGGATTTCAACTTCAGAAATGTTGACTGGGACAACATTGTAGGTGACTACGAATCTGAAGACTTCCTAGACGCAGTACAAGACAATTTTTTGATACAACTAATTACAGAACCTACTAGAGGTGACAATATATCAGACCTAGTATTAACAAATAAAGGAAATATTATCAGAGATATCACAGTAGGGGAAGAACTAGGTAACAGTGATCACAGAGAAATCAGGTTCACCTTAAATTGGGTAATGAAAAGCAATGACAATATGGTCAAAGAGTCCCAAATTTTCGATTGGCGCATTATCAGGGGTAAAGAAGGTACCTAGGTGAGGTCACCTGGGAACAGTTAGGTCAGTACCCGGTAGGAACGGGTGAGGTCACATGTGACCCCACAATTGATCATGACTATATTCACTCATATACTACTTAAAGCACAGGAACAAAATATACCATACAGAACAATTAGGTCAAATAAGAATGAGCCAAGGTGGATGACCAGATAACTTAAACATGTCATAGGAATAAAGAAAGGAATTTATAAGAAATTAAAGGGAGGGGAGGAGCAGCTCAGAAACAGGTATAATGAACTATCTAGGAATGTTAAGAAAAATGTAAGGAAAGCAAAGAGAGACTATGAAATCAGGATAGCAAGAGAATTTAAGGCGAATCCCAAGGGATTTTTCCAGGTATATAGAACAAAAGTCAAGGACAAAGTTGGGCCTTAAAAGTTAGGGAGGGGAGAAGTGATAAATGGCAGTGAAGAAATAAGCAAAGCATTGAACAGCTACTTTTTATCAGTTTTCACAGAAGAAATTCACGAGGAAATTCCAGAGGTGGAACTGATATTTAGGGGAAAGGAAGAAGAGAAATTAAAGAATATCACTATCAGAAAAGAGGATGTTCTTAAGAGGATAAATAAATTAAAGAAGACAAAATCCCCAGGGCTGGATGAAATTTTCTCTTAAGTCTTGAAAGAGTGTAGGGAACAGATTAGCGGACCCCTTGTAAATTTATTTACAAAACCATTAGACACGGGAGTTGTGCCAGACTTGTGGAAACAGGCAAATGTAGTACCCATATTCAGAAAGGGAGACAGAGCATCAGCGTCAAATTACCGACCGATCAGTTTGACGTCAGTAGTGGGGAAATTTCTTGAATCAATTATAGTAAATAGCATCCGATCGCATTTAGAGAAAAGCAAATTAATCTACGACTCTCAACATGGGTTTACAAAGGGAAAATCTTGTCTAACAAATCTGGTGACTTTTTTAGGAAAGTCTTCGAGGTAGTAGATAATGACGAAAATTATGATGTTATTTACTTTGACTTTAGCAAAGCATTTGACAGAGTACCGCATCAGCGGCTTCTGAGAAAAGTCAAGGCTCATGGTATCGAGGGGAAAGTTTTAAATTGAATAAAATCATGGCTCACTGATAGAACACACAGGGTCAGCGTAGGTGGTGTTAAATCTGAGTGGGGCCGTGTAACCAGTGGGGGTTCCCCAGGGGGTCAGTACTAGACCCACTCTTGTTCATAATCTACATAAACGATCTAGATACTGGAATCAGCAGTGACATAAGCAAGTTTGCGGATGACACCAAAATAGGGCGGCAGATTAATTCAGGGCAGGATGCAAATGCACTACAGGAGGATTTAAATAACTGCAGGAGTGGTCAGAAAAATGGCAAATGAAATTCAACATCAGCAAGTGCAGCATACTTAATATTAGAAGAACATATACTGTCAATGTATACAGCCTTAACAACATCAACCTCGAGAAGTCGACTTGTGGAAGAGACTTAGGGGTACTTGTAAGCCCGGACCTACGGCCTAGAAAACAGTGCGTTAATGTTCAAAATAAGGCAAACAGAGTATTAGGTTTTATATCTAGAAGTGTAAGTAATAAGAGTGCAGAGGTCTTATTGCAACTATATCTTGCGCTAGTCAGGCCGCACCTCGATTATGCGGTTCAGTTCTGGTGCCCTTTTTATAGAATGGATATCAATTCACTGGAGTCGGTGCAGCGAAGAATGACGAAAATGATTCGGGGGCTTACAAACCTTCCATATCAAGATAGGTTAAAGAAACTAAACTTGCATTCCCTAGAAAGACGAAGAGTGCGGGGAGATATGATACAAGTATTTAAGTGGGTGAAAGGAGTCAATAAAGGGGATATAGATAAAGTTGTTATAATATCCGAGCAGGATAGGACTCGTAGCAACGGATTTAAGTTGGATAAGTTTAGGTTTAGGAGGGACATAGGAAGGAACTGGTTCACAAATAGGGTGGTGGACGAGTGGAACAAGCTTAGCAACTTTGTAGTAAGTGCTGGAACGCTGGAAATTTTTAAAAGGAGGCTAGATAAATTCATGGATGATAGAGAGTGGTATTAACTCTAGACAGGAGCTGCCATGCACAGGCCAACCGGTCTATTGCAGGCGCCTTATTCTCTTGTGTGTTCTTATAAAGCCTTGTTATTCTCAGCTGGGCTCATGGTCAGTCTTGCCGTGTGTTGGCGCCTCAGCGCTCATGCTTACAAAGTCTGAGGTCATTATATACTAAGGAAGGACAAAATGGAAACCTTTTTTTTATTACCAGTAACAAGATTAAACCGGAGAGTAAAAGTAATTGATTTAGAGTCTTGGAGAGGTGGTGTGGTGGGGGTGTTGACAGGAGCCATGTTTGAGAATCTGGATGTTTATTGACACTGGTAGTGAGGTGGCAGTATACTCAGCTGGTGGTGTAGTGTTGGAGGGACCGGCTTGTATCCCCATAATCACACCAGGTACGTTACTTCTGTCGTTCCAGGAAAGGTGTTGCCATGATCTAGTCCGTGTTAGGAATTGTTAAAAAAAAATAACCATAATAATCTGGCTTTTAGGTCCCAGGAAGTTTTTAAGTACATAACTGTATTAATATCGAAAAGTGGATCAAGGAGGCATAAGGGGTTGACATGGAAAGTATTGAGGTGAAGGTTCCTCAGGGCAGGGCTGGTGGCTGCAGGGGTCTGGTCGTCACTACACTTCACTCCTTACCTGCCTCCTTCCAGTGTTGCGTTTCATTGGTCTCTTATTTTTAACTTTTCTCGATCAAATTCTCCAGGTTAATCTATCGGTCAGGTGCTGGATGTAGAGGGTAAGACGGGCGTTTTGTCCATATAAGTGATTTGTTGGTGTTCTAGGCTCCTGGAGTGTCAGGCTAAGCAAGAGTTATTGTGGGTAGTTGCCAACACTAGTGCGAGGCTGCTGTTCACCATTAGTGCCAGATGTCAGATGTTGGGAAACACAATTTACGTGGTTTTTAGTCTTGAAACACATCCAGTTCTCTGCTTTAATTGTATACATTTAGAAGGTGGACATTGCTCATAAGTGGCTTTACAGTTTTCATTTTATTTCGTTTTATATTTATTTATTCTCTGTGTGTGAGTACGTCATACTGGAAGAAACATGAGCTTCGAACCGGATACTTCAACTGGACGAGACGCGAGTGCTCAGTATCATCTGCTGCAGTGGCCGCCGAAGCACTTGTAGTCAACTCTCTGGCAAGATTTTTTATTAACTCTTCACTTGACCGGTAACATTACATAGTTGTAGACTCGCTGTTATAACTGCCTCCTTATGTCGAGTACTTTACTCGAGGAAACACATTAACACGTGTAATTAAGTAAGTGACCTTCGTAGCTCCGTATGCGGGACCCAGCGAACGTGTGGGGGGAGGCTAGCTTGTGGTACAGTACACACACACACACCCTACTGACAGTGGTAGTGTTCGCCAAGGTCCTTAGAATACAGTTTAAATCTTGGTCTGTGTTATGATCGATCTCTGGCGCCGATTTGGTACACTGAGGTTTGTGTAATGAACTTGTATATACAGAACCCATCGTCTTTCATCTCAGTGCAATAACGAAATCTTGCCTCTTAGTTGGGAAATTTCACCTGGTGGTTTTAAAAGATATGGCTTTGACTTGCGGCTTCGTGGAAACTTGAAACTGACCTTTGTTGTAACCTCGGAAATGAGTTGTTTTCTCTTGTAATGGAAACCAATGATTGGCACAAGGTGAGCATTAACCCTTGGTGTTGTATTACTGAACCAAGACACTGAACAGGATTTTAAGTTTACATGCATCAGGGGCCATGATACACAGAGACCATTTGGAAGTTTGTAAGTTATAACTGAAGGTGTGTAAGGGGAGGTATTATATCGCATTACAGGTAGTGACTCTTAATACTCGTCCATATGGCTCTGGTAGCAATCATGACACACACACACACACACAACACAAAAGGAAACTGATAATCCGTATATAGAAAATCCCAACGCCATATTTCAGTAAATGAACAAAGTATTATGCTGTGTTCGATGCCTTGGAAATGTATATAATATTCTGTGATGTTGCTGATGCAGGCTTTGTCACCTTGTTTAACTGTGTGTGAATTGACGAGCGTTGTGGGGAGTGGTGGAGAACAATTATTTTTTTTTTTCGGCAGTTATAAAAGTTTGGTCACAGAAGCGGAACTGTGCGTCTTCAGTAGATGGTGACGATGATGATGGCATTGAGAACTTAACATGCACCAAATTAGCTTTTGAACACTAAACAACAACAGTACACAATTTCGAAACCTATTCTGATTGTTTCTTTTTGTAATGTACAGAATTGCTACTTGTTACCGAGCTCTGTATGACCCCAACATGGAGAATTAAAAGTAATGAATGAAAATAATATTCTACTTTTAATTCTTGGATGTGTCTTGCCTGCTAGAATGAAGTGACGTAACGTTGAAAAAAAAAACATTACATATTTACACGTAAGATTTAACATATTTACAGAAAGACTGAGGGCATTTTTTCCCACACATTGACGTAAGACTGGACACATTTATACACATTTACACACAGTTCAACGTAAGATTAAAAAAATATATACACATTTCTTAAGATTTTACAGTAGGATTTTTACTTAACTTAAAACTACGCAATATTTATTACTAATTACACGTATCATATAATTTCCTTCCGGAACGCGTTATTCGGCGTATCTTTTGTTAATGATTGATAGTATGGTGAGTGTAATATCTTTGTGGTTAAATTCTTTTATTTATTTCCTGGAAAGACCTTGTTTGCACTTAAAGACCTTGAATAGCGGAAACACTGCATATGTGGGTTTTTTTAGGATTTAATAATTTTTACTCTTTACAGTTCTTTACTATTCCTTTTTTATTGTTTTAGTCTCAAATTTCTTCTGTTCCCTCTTTATTAACATTCTCGTTTTCTTTCATGAGTTGTGACGATGCCAGTGACCATTGCTTAGTTCTGGTAGGTGTTATAGTGAAGGGAGTGTGTATATAAAAATAGAAACGCTGTGGTTGGTAGATCCGGTTTAGTGACGTCATGACGGGCCGGGCATCGTGACGTCATGAGAAAAGTACTCCAGTGATGTCATGACTAGTCCGCTTATTCATGTTGAGCCGAGGTGGTCTTGTGAGCTGAGGAAGGTGATCTTTACGGACCATCAAAGCGTACATCCTCAGCTGACAGTTTTTGAGAGTTCGCTTCACACTGTAATTCATTCTAGGGGGAAAAATGCGCATTGGTGGTGTAAAAGCTTTCTATACAAACAAGTCACTGATTGTTTACTAACTTTAAAATAGAGATGGCTGGGTAGATACAAACTCCATTCCTCCCGACACACCACCACCCGTCCCTAGTTTGAACTCCGCGGCCGGCCACTGGATGGAACCAAGTCGGATCAAGGATCAGTAAAGGGCGACTAAATTTGCTCTTCACTTTTTCTCTTTATATTCTTCCTCTACCAAATGAGGTTAAGTATTCCTGTATCTCTATGGCACAGATTGCGTCTCTTGTATTTAGCGTCACCACTTACGAGGAAACGCAGATGTATCTTTAGTTTGAGATCGCTTAGTACACAAACATGACAAGTTAGCGTGACAGGAGCCCTGAACCATTACTTCCAAGGTTATTTGAAAAAGAAAATAGATACTTACTTGTAAGTCTCGTGCACATTTCATGCTGTGATTGTAAACATTAAATTCAAGGGTTCCTGACTTTCACACTTAAAACGTCAGTGCATCAGAAATTACCTCCGGACATTTGCTTGTATTTCCCGGTGAGAACAAGTGGATAAAGTGAGGGTAGCCTCAGGGCAGAGGTTCGCAACGGCCGGAAAATTTTTATTTGCGGTCGTCATACACATACATACACATAACGGCATCCAAAATGGGTAATGAACGGCAGGCTAAGATGTTGAAATAAGATAAGGCTGTTAAAGACACTTGATGCAGCAAACACTTAATCTGATGCACTCTATGAGACAGGGAAGCATTATACCTGACAGCTGACCGCACACACACGCGCACACACATGCAAGTTTGTCAAAGATTCAAAGTAACTAAATTCTGATCAAATAAGTTTCAAGGCCTTTCTTGAGTAGACGGTCAGTCCTTGTCAGCCATATTTTAACGATGGAAATCTTGCTGGTGCACATATAGCTCCTCAAACACTCGTAAACCATTGAGTCGTTGTTGGTCTTTAGGGAAGAAAAGTGAATCGAGCAACACTGATACGAATAGATCTGACAGCGCTTTCAATGTTTGGTTCTACACACTGTTGCCGACAGACTTGTGTAATGAACATGTACTGTGTCGTCAAAGATCACTAACTCACTCACCGGAACTTGTGGGAGCCGCTTGTACTATATTTGAATTAATTTCTCAGTTGTAGAAGATAATGTCTCGAATTTCATATTAATCCTGGTAACCATTTCCTTTGTGTTGTTGAATATGAAACATAATTTGTTACAATAAGATTCATTGTCACTCATTAGGTAAAATTTTTGTTCTATATAACAGTTATTGACCTATTTCAAGTTTTTTTATGAATTTAATATACTGTATATCACCTAACTACACTGGTGGCTGCGGCCCATATTGATCTCTTGCTCATGTTCCTCTGGTCTTTTGAGTCACAGGTCTACGCCACTCAATTCTGTACTCATGATCAAAATTATGTATTTCTGAGGTGGTGTAAAGGAGGAATCTTGGCTCCTTGTTTTAATACAATACAAAGTTTGCAATGATTTTTGTTGATTACATTTTTCGTATGTACTAAAAGTGGTGGCATGTGAGGTCAAAATATTACAATCAACTGCGTGATAATGTAGGTTATGAAGAGTGTTGGGAGGTGAGGGAAGGTCTCATAACTCAGTGTTTCTGATACATTAAAGGGAAGTTTAGCTGAAGTGTTTATAACTCTTCATAACCGTGTTTGATGGCACGCATGAACCGCCAGAAGGAATGATAGAAACATTAAGTTGTCAGAAATATATATATACGTGGTGTTAGTAAGAGTGTACAGGGAAATGTCACTGATTTAGAAAGACTACAAAGTTTATTAGGAACGTTGTTGCTGAAGACTACACACCCCCACTACCGAGCGGCACCGTTGGATAAGTCTGCGTTGAAATCTCTCGCACTACTTTAGATCGACAGCACGGATATAATTTACCCTAATAGGCGATAAAAATTAATAATAGCAGTGGATATTATTGTTCCTGCAGAGAATTATGGTAATTAAGATTTAATAATTTAGTGTAATATTTGATGAGACGAAATTGTTATTAATCTGTCGGCGAGGAAGAGAAACTGTTTTTGAGAGTTTATTCCAGCCTAGTGTAATGGTCCGAACTAAACTGTACACTCGTTCCTCTTTGATAACTCGGTACACTCGCCAGGGATCGCCTTGTACTTCAATACTCCTCGGTAGTGAGGACGTAGAGTCGAAAGGGAAATTACCAAAGTAAAGTTTAGATTTGTTTAGTTTTTAATCCTTAGATGAAACTTTTTTTTTAAATTACTTGGAACTTGAGAGGACAATGTTTGTTTGTTCTATCACTTACGACTGACGGTTTTGAGGGTGTTATTGTGGTGAACTACAACTAGGAAGAGAGGTTGCGGTGTCTACCTTGACCTACAGTACATCACCCATCGCCTCAGTACCCGTGTTTGTGTTGGGATCTTGATCACACTGTATACACCCGATATTGATGTGGCGGTGTTCTTGTGTGGCTCTGAAACACTTGACACGTTCTTGGAAGTAGAGGATGTATCTAGCCGGCTGTTCTGCGAGTAATTTCCTTTTTTCTCCATTTGTATAATAGCTTAAGAATGTTGTGAGGAGGAAGTGATGCGGGTGCCCCCCCCCCTCCCCCCATAACCCCCTCTTTGTGTGGTTGACGTAGCAGGAAGCGACACTTGGGTGGGGGTGTTGAGACAGAACAAATGTCTGTCACAATCGTCCTCGCCTCACGTGTCTGGAACATCTACAATCCTTTCAGTTGACACAGCAGAAGATGTCATGGCAGAGAGGTCAATTGAACATGGGTATCGAAGTATTCACTGTATGAAATGTGGTGGTGAAGATGGTGGCTTTTGAATAAAAACTGTCAATGGTTTCACACTCAACAATTTTAAGGCTTCGGCGAGCTGAACGGCTGTCGTAGTTATCAAAGTTAGAACCATCAATCACAATAAGGTAACGCAAGATTGAGCCAGGATTTAGTGTCAAGAAGTCGGGACGTGTGGTGTCAGTTTAGTGGTGCGGGTAACTGATGTTGAATGTTAATTGTTTAAGAATGTGGTGTTGTTAGCTTGTGTTTGGTGGTGGTGATAATGAGAAAGGAATGGTGGTGCAGTAATTTGACGTAGATTATTAGGCTGGAACGAACTAATATCAACAGGTCGCAAAGAGTTTTATAGGCCACTTGCCATCGACCACCTCTCCTCCCGCCTCTTTGTTTACACTCGCCAGAGGTGATCATGTCAACCTTCAAAACCTAATCATTTTTTTTTGGTATGGAAAGATAACGTTGTTCATGATATTTATTGTGGTCTTATAAAGGAGAAATATTAGTTCCTATAAAAAGATCTTTGTATGTTTAATAACAAGGCGTTTTCAAAAACGTACAGCAGTTTATTTTAAGATTGAATACGGTGTCTTCTCTTGAGCTGAATAAAATCGCATGGCGTTAGTCAATTAGAATATTCAAAGTGGCGTCTCGGTAGTGAAGGGGATAAACACGCTGGTAGTAATAAAGGTAAATCTTATTTATTGTCTGTCTCTTTCGAAGGTTCAATACTTAGTGAAATAACCCTAGTGATACTGATCTAACCTGGCAGCTTTACTGACGGTGACAACAATGACATCGAAATTAGGTGGGGAGGGGGGTGTTCTCCGGAGGCAGAGTACACACACACACACACACACACCCACACGTTTATCCTCTTTTTGTCTAAGGATGACATATAATCGTGTTATATGTGTCAAGTTCATCATGTTCTGGTTTTATGTAGTGAAATGCATAAATGAACAGTGCATATAATCATCAAATAATAAAATACAGTTGGAGTTAGTCTATATCGGCCATCTTGCTTCACATTGGTAGATATAAGCTCAATACGACTCTCAGTAGGTAGACGAGATGAACAAGTTGTTGCTAATGAGGATAGATCTCTTCAGTGTTGTTCTTCAGGAAAGTTAAACTAGGAAGCCCTGGACAGTCATAAAGAGGAGTGACCTTGATGAGAGAGGGTGGTGACAACTGGCTGACGTCACGGGAAACTCAGCTGAGGTAATTGGGGGAAGCAGCTGGTGTGTGCGTGTGCGCGCGCGCGTGCGTGCGTGTTACTAAGGGGAGGCTGTGACGTAATAGAATAATGGATAGGAAACATCTGGTCAAGTGTTTAAGTGTAATGGTGTGCCTTTACCTGTACTTCAAATTTCATGAACTTGTATTCCTATTTCAAATATTTCTCATATTTCTTCTCTTCTGTTATTTTTCTTCAATAAGTATCCTATTTTATATTTCTCTTCAAGTATATTTTGTTCTAGTTATATTCTAAACCATGGATTATTCTGGGAAACCATGTCTTTCTTATTATCATCACACTTATTCTTACAATGGTAGCCTGCCACCACCCAGAGTTTTATTAAAATATAACATTTCTTGGTTAATGGTTAGGTAGCCTACTAGCGAGCTTCTAGGCACGTAAGTTACAAAGTTATTTTCAGAGAATCAATGTGTGAAAAGGATAGAGTGGTGATACTCATAGTTTACTAATTCAATATTTATTAACATAAGGAGTGAACAAGATGTTAATGAAGTACACTCAGACCAGACTAGACCACTTAGCTCTTACTGTACCATTCATAAAATAGATCTGCAATACTTATTACATCATTACACAACTTCAATTACTTATTACCTCATTAAAAATCATTATTATGTCATTGTCACTACAGGTGGCTGTATGACACACTTTGACAATATCCCAAAATAAAATATTATTTATAACAACATGCTATGCGGAATTAATAACATGGTACTTCTCCCTCGGCACATTTACTGATACCGTCAACTGTTATGGGATCACTACTCAACCTGGGATAACCATACTCTGCTAAATATCCCCAATCATATAATGTATAACAACAATACTTTGGCCCATATAACTGTAAGGAGTGCCCCAGGGTGTCATTGGTTTCATCACAACAAAAGAAAAACGCTGTTAAGGTCGGTTGGAGTCCGATACACTACGAGGGAGTTCGGACTTAATTCCCAAGGTGCAAACTCGCACAGTTTAATCCTGCCAAATTAACGACATCTTCCAATGCAGCTATCGGTGCCCGGTAGTTGTTGGGTATTCTGCTAACACACACACACACACACACACACACACACTGTGCCGGAGACAATGATGGAGAAAGGTCAGAGCAATCTAATAACTCCATCACAAACAATCTCTCGCGTAGCAACGACAGACGACATTTACGTTATATTAATTCTTACACTGGGTAATTGACAATTTCACTCCTACAACATGAACACTGATATTCACAAAATTCACTGAGTTAAACTGACTTAATATGGCGGGCGAATAATCGTACTCATACCCGAGACAATGAAGGAGAAACGTCAGAGCAGTCGCGCTCTCCACCCACCGTGCATGAGCTTATATACGGCTAACTGGCAATTCAGGCCTGGGCGGATCACATGCCAGAAAGGCCAGCCACGCAATGATAGAAATTACATTCAACTCAATCACTGTACATTTAATTATGACAACCAATTGCCACCGGTCAGGTGAATTTCCTACGTCTATTCATATAATCTAATCAGAGATTGAGCTTGCCAGGAAAAAGTGGAATTACACATTTTGATAACATTAGTTCTCCCAACATAAGCGAAATTCTAGACACGGACCCTCTATGGGTATAGGTTGAGTCTTGGAGATAAGAAGTTTGACTTGTTCTTTCAGGAGATTAATGGCTTTCTTGAATAGACAGCTGACACTAACTAAACTACAAACATCAGATTCTCTGATGTTTGGGCATCAAAATGATCTAATTTCAGTAGTACTCAGAAATGCATAGCTATAACCAGGGACAATATCCTTGGACTCTTCGTACTGGCAGACTCGACACTCACTCACTTACTTAACAAGTGTTACGAACAATAAAGACAGTTAAAGCTTCCAACATCACTCACAAAGGAATTTGTATGCTTTAACTGTAATCAGACATATCTGAGTTGACTCAAAACAATGGTGTTCTCTCTCACATTCAGATTTACTTTATAGAGAGGTTGGTTTCAGGAAGTCAGAGAAAATGGGAAAACGGAGGACTCAGGCGTCTTGAAGCGGTGAGAAAACTACGCCTCAGAGGGGAGACTCGATAAAGAAGGCATAGCTACATGTTTTGTGGACTATAGAGCGTAATATGAGTAGTCTGATTTTACGATAATTGACGTGTAAGACCGTGGTCATTACATAGGTAGTGTGTGGGAAGGCTGAAACCCCCCTGAATAAACGTGCATCTGCCTGATCGGTCTGCATTAAAGCCTCGTGACATTTCATATTTTATTTCTGAATTTGAATAATCAATTTATGGCTTTATTTGAATGTACAGTCGTATATTTTTATTTTTATTTTATTTTAACATTCTCTCTTTCAGCATATGGTAGAAACAATGGGGAATGAAGAGGTGAAGGATGTGTCGTCCACAGAAGTGGCGAACGAGGAGGAGGAGGAGGAGGAGAGAGGGACGTGGGGGAACCAGTGTGAGTTCTTCCTCTCCTGTCTAGGCTACGCTGTGGGCTTCGGCAATGTGTGGAGATTCCCTTACCTGTGCTACAAGAATGGTGGAGGTGAGCCAAAACGATCGACATTTATAAATAGAATTAGCATAGATCTTTAAAATTATGATATTTAACTTCTGTAATGAAAACCAAATCAAAAGTATTGAATAAAATCTTAACTCACTAACTTGCTTTCCCTCCCCAGCGGCGTTTCTGATTCCCTATGTGATCATGTTATTGTGCGCGGGTCTTCCTCTGTTCTTTATGGAGCTCGCCCTTGGTCAGTACGCCAGCCTTGGGCCCAACATCCTCTTCCCCAAGTTGTCTCCCATATTCGGTGGTAAGTTCCAAGTTTTCCTTTCCTGGTGGTGGTGACGCGGTGTAAATTTATAACTTAGTTCTACCTCAAATAATGAAAGAGAATGGGGTTAAAAAAAGATGTCTAAAGAAGAATATGATTGATTATTTTTAGGTTATACTCCTGTAAATGAATAATTTTCTTGCATTTAATCGGGAGCTTAGTTATATTTTTTACCAATATCTATCACATGACAAAATTTATCTCGAATATAGATTTCATGAATGACGACCACATTTGTTCCCACCACAAGAAGAATGTCTAGTATTGACTCTGGTCGTTCAGTGCCCATGTTTTTCTTAGTGTTTCATTGTTGAGAATTAGTGTATTTACTATCGAAGGAGCAGAAATACACAAGTCCTCTCATCCTTTCGTGCCCAATTGGTAACCATGATGTACTATTTCCAGGACTGGGATGGGCCATGGTTATTGTGTCAGCGCTGGTCACTATCTACTACAACATGATCCTAGCCTGGACGCTTTACTACACCTTCGCCTCCTTCACCTCGGTGCTGCCTTGGGGACACTGTCATAATGATTTCAACTCCCTCGGTAGGTCCTCCATGTAGTGAACCTTGACGTAGTGGTTCTGCCAAACTAATCTGTTGCTGCAGCTGACAACATTACATATATTTATTCTTATTCTTTTATTTTTATCGTACACTGTATACAAGTCAATTTACTTGCTTTTGGAATTGTTAAGAATTGATTGATTGTGGTAATTACACCCCTAGAATGGTTAAGAAAACACAAGGACTCTGACCATAGATCGTTGTCGGTACTAACAGCATAATATGTCTACAGAGTGTTACACAGAAGAACTCTCCACGAGTTGTAAGAACCAGTCTCTCTATGTCTACAACAATACCTGTGTCACGGTCCAGGAATACTGTGGCGCGGCTGGCTTCCAGGCCGTCAATGAAACTTACTGCCAGGGCACAGATGACGTGGTACCAGCCGATGGTGTCATCTCAAAGGTATCATCCAGCGAGGATTACTTTTTGTGAGTATTAATGTTGTCTTTCTGGGGAACATGTTTCAGGTCTCAATAAATTGAAGCTCGGATTCAGATAAATATATTTATGTTGCCTGATTGGCTTGTTTCCTATGTAGATCTTCGAACAGACATTGATCATAAAGTTGACGATTCAAACAATTGCAATTTCAAATTCGACGTAAATTACTGTTCGTATATGATATTTCAACCTTACCAGTTTGCCAAGACGATAAATTTTACTGAATCTAATACAAAGTGATCGGAAAGTCCATGTGCACCTGTTCCTTGTTATACCCACATTATTAGAAGTAGAGCTCGCTAAATAACGGGTTTTAATTATTGGAGGTGCATAGGGACTTCGATCACCCAATGAAATCCTATATTACAAACCTTTTAGATCTGGCCTTGGCACACTAGACAGAGAAGCAAGTTAAGAAAAGGTTAATATTATACTACGCTCACTAACACTCTTGTGCCACTATAGCAGTCTTAATTCTCGTGAAGAAAAATCGGTAAAGTTGATGAAAGTTGGCCACATTGTTATGTTGTATTGATGTGTGGTAAACGAATTAGGAAAGTGAACTCGTTGGCATGTTTAAGAACTGCATAGAACTCTAAATATTACTTTTACTTTCTTTTTACTTTTACCCTCTTCGCCACTTTTCGGCTCGTTAGCTGTTTGGGTGGTCGGTCACGTCTCTAGGCATGAACTAGCTCCTGAACATATCGCAACTTGCTCCAGTGTTGGTCAAGTCTGGCCTTGAAACAGCTCACACTCGGTACCGTCACAATACACTCTGGCAGATTGCTCAAAGAGTTCACAATTCTCACTCTGAAAAAGTTTGCCCTCAGTTTTCTGGACTTGGGGGCTTCTTCAACCTTGAGCTGTGGCCTGTGGGTCTGTAGCTCCTTTGGGGCGGACGTCCGCCAGCTACAAGTATGTGCATTCGACCGAGATGTTTATACACTTTGATTACGTCGCCCCTCTCCCGTCCGTAGTTTAAGCTAGGCAGTTGCAGGCGTTCTAATATCTCCGGATAGCTGCGGTTCCGTAGTGCAGGCACCAGTCTGGTGGCCCGGCCCTCCTTTTGACATTTTCAATCAATTGAGTCTAGCATATCTCGAGGACCAGACGGGATGGCAGTACTCGCAAATCAAAAAGTAATTCCTAAGTAGTTTAAATACAAACATATAATTATTGCACAACATAAACGTTTAGATTTGGTGATCGTGAATTTATTTGGAAACCTTTGGATATCTGGTGTGGTGAAGCCTCTTAATCAACACCCTTTACTGATAATGCTTATCAATTTACTTGTAATACATTTGTTGCGGGGTCTGTCTAAGGTCTCAATGGCTGATTGTGTTGAACATGGCAAGGTTAGTGGAGTGAAACTTAATCTATTATTTATATTTTCAGGAACGGTATGTTAGGAGTGACTGGAACGACCTGGGAGGACATGGGAGGAATTCGCTTGGAGCTGGTGGGATGTCTCTTTCTGGGCTGGGTCATTGTAGCTCTGTGCATGGTGAAGGGCGTCAAGAGTTCCGGCAAAGTCGTGTATTTCACCGCTCTGTTTCCTTACGCTGTGTTGCTTATCCTGTTCATTAGAGGTGAGTAATGTAAACAAAGAATTAATTGTTAGATTTAAAAAAAAAAAAAAAAATTTTTACCTGGTGAATATTTAGAAAGGCAGACATATTTGTTGTCAAGTCGCCAACACAACTACACACTCCAGTTATTAGAATAAATATGTTTTCAAGTCCCAAGATGTACACAGCTTATATTATTACCTGTATATCAAGAACAAGAAGACAATATCTGCAGTTCTTCAGTGATTCAAAGCAGACCTTGTTCTGCAAAAATTTTGAATAATTTTAAGATTTTCCTTTTCATATCAAATTGTTTTACATCGTTAACTGTTGTCGATCAAGAAACGCGTACTCGAAAAAATATCTTGTTTAAATAAAAAAAAATAGTCAAGAAATTAATTGGAATAAACTTTTTGAATTTTTAATTGAGACAACTTGATCCTTCATCAATACTGTATAGGGACCACAGTATATCCGGTGTTATTCCTTTTAAAAGCTTAACCTCTCTTCAGTTGTATCAGTGTGTTGTCTAAAGCGATGAGGAACAGACTTAAAATTTCAACTGCAGTCTGTGATAAGCAATTGTACCCAAATGATATATATATATATATATATATATATATATATATATATATATATATATATATATATATATATATATATATATATATATATATATATATATATATATATATATATATATATATATATATATATATATATATATATATATATATATATATATATATATATATATATATATATATATATATATATATATGCAAGTAAATCACTGTAGGTGCGCGTGATCTAGGTATATATATATATATTCAAAACTGAAGTTATATGTCTTTGACTCGCAGCCATCAGAGAACCTGATGACGGTATTGAAGTAACTGTCATTTTTTTATTAAAGCCTCCAGTTCTGTAGTCTAACGGCCATAGGTAATTCATTACGTATGTCTTAAACGCTGACTTCACATGAAATGAGTATGCTGATATGAGTATTTGTAACCAATTTACTTGATGCATTCAAAATTTTATAACTGATTATATTATAAGGATTAACCTTTAGAAGTAATGAAGACCCATAGTACAGTACTAATTTTCATAATTCTGTGTAATGAGACCGACAAATAGGTCTGTAAAAATCCCGACTACGTAATGTGGTGTATAAGATAGAGGGCGCAGCCAGTAGAGAACTCACTTTGAGCGCCTTATTCTCTCTATAACAGGCACTGTATGTGTTGCTGGGGCTTCCAAGAATTGGTGGCCAGTGCAGGCAGGATGTATTGAGTAAACCGTGATTGAGCCATACACTTTATCTGAGTACAGTTTTAACTACTGTACATTTAAATATACGTAGTTTAAGCTTCCAACATATACTTATTGAATCTTGAATGCTTCACCTACTGGTCGGTATACACAACTTACTGCTACTCATGCATGTCACATCATAATTTTAAATTTACTTTACTAGGGAAATCGGAAAACAAATCTCTCTCTAGGGATAACTCGCTCGTTTCACACATGTTTTATAGACGATGGAGCATAATATGAATGTGAGGGTGTTAATATATTACCAGTGCAACTGTGCCCATGACATGACCAGTTAGTGAATCAGACAGACAATAAAGTGCAGTAAAAGTAACGAGCTGAGCAGCCTCGCCACACTAGGAAAAGGATAGTCTACGCTCAAGTTATTTACGCCTGTTATCAATTTTATTTCACTGGGAACACTTTTTAGAACTATTTTAGGGGAAACCCAAATGTGAGAGAAACCTTGATAATTACACACTGAAATCGTCATACAAATTGATATTGGTTCAGCATATACATAAATAATTAAGAATATGCAGTGGTAAACAGTAAGAGATACAATTAATGATCAGCCCAAGAGAACCTTTACAATCTTTACTTAGAGCATTTTATTATAGTGTCTTAAAAAACAAATCTTAACAGGTGTCACACTGGAAGGAGCTTACAGCGGTATCGAGTTTTATTTCTTAAAACCGAACATCAGTCGTCTGGGGGAGGTGGAGGTGTGGAATGACGCTGCCACACAGATTTTCTACTCGCTAGGATCGTCTTTCGGTGGTCTGATTACCTTGGCATCTTACAACAAGTTCAAAAACAACTGTATGAGGTAAGTTTATGAACTGATATATAAATAAAAAACAGATGAAAGACCTGTAACCCCAAATGTTAGATTTAGTGTCACTCCAATTGCTATAAGGGTAATATAATATAAAGAGCCTCTAACAAATTGTACAGAGAATACGGTATCAGTCATAGAATTAAACTGATATATTCAGTGATCATCCTTCATCACTCATCTCATGAACTCGCTTCTTCAACAGGGACGCCATGATCATCGCCTTTGCCAACTGTTCGACGTCAGTGTTTGCTGGCTTCGTGATCTTCAGCATCCTCGGGTTCCTGGCCACCGAACTCGGGGTGGAAGTGGAGGATGTGGTGAGGTCGGGGTCTGGTCTGGCCTTTGTGGTGTATCCGGCCGCCGTCACTCGCATGCCCTACCCTCCTGTGTGGTCCATCCTCTTTTTCCTTATGCTTATCACCCTTGGTCTGGACTCTCAGGTTAGTTACCAAATATTCACGACTTTCCTTGATAAATACTAATAGATATCCAATTGATTCAACCACACTGCAGTAGTGTCAGCCAAAAAATTCTACCAATTCTTCCAATGAATAATGAAGATATTTTACAGCCTCTTTACCTCTCTCTTGTACAGTTCACCATGGTGGAGACACTCGCAACAGCTCTTTTTGATCAGTTTGAGTACCTGCGAAGCAAAAAGCCACTGGTGGTGTGTATCTTATGCACTGGACTGTTCCTGTTTGGCCTCACTATGTGCCTAAACGGTGGCATGTACATGTTTGAACTCTTTAACTGGTATTCTGCTGGAATTTCGGTCCTCATCCTAGCCATTACGGAGGTCATCCTTATTCAGTATGTTTATGGTAAGTTGGTGAATATTAGTGTGTGTGCGCTATACGGTAAATGCTTTTATATTCAGTGTTTCTTTATCCATGTGTCGGCGAAGACAGAACTTGTTATACTAATTTTATCCCACATTCTCTCGATCTTTCACAGGCTTCAGAAACTTCATGAGGAACATCCGCCAGGAAATGGGTATTTACATGCCGTTCCCCCTCTACGTGTACTGGGCAGCCACTTGGTTGGTCATCACTCCCGTGGCACTTACTGTGAGTATTCATTTTTTATAATTTTTATTTGTCATGGGTTCAATAAGCTAGTGGATAAAAATAAAATCACTTTACTCGCAAATGTTTCATAGATTATAAAGATGAAGGCGCCTTTCTTTATGTATGTCGCGACTTTGTTTTTTTTATAAAATTAAAGTTCGTGTTAAATTAAACTAGCAAACTATGCTCTTCTACACGGTCGTTTTTCATATTTGGTTAATTATTTGTAGATGTATTTTGTAATATTGTTATAGAGTAACATATTTTATAGGTGAACTTATATAGTATACATATTGTCCATAACCTTTATAAATTTCCACATCTCATGCTATTTTCCTTTCTTCTCACAGGTCATCTTAATTATATCAATCGTGAAATTCACTCCGGCTTACTTTGGTGACTACGTCTTCCCGTATAACATCCAGACACTTGGTTGGTTTATCAGTTTCTCCTCGATTGTTTTCATCCCCCTTGGTGCTATCTACGTATTAGTAAAAGGAAATAAGAAAGGCAAGGAACTTTTCACACCGTCCCCAGACTTCTGTCCTCACCACGTCAGAAAACTGCGTGAAAAGCAAGGCGCTGCCAACAAGGGTCAGCCCGTGGGAGTGTTCAGATATACATACGACAACGAAGGTTTCCAAGAGCCTCACGCTAAGGTCAGTATTGATTAAAAGATATGAATACGTAACTTAAACGCAAGACATAATGACCAAATACATGATCAAATGTCTAATGGATATTTTTAATGTTTTTTTTTCCAATTTATATTCTAAAATTGTTTACATTTGCAGGTGTATCCAGCACTGCCAGAAGACGAAAACCCGCCACCATACACGAACGGCCCTGCCTACTCTAACCATATGTGAGAGGGGACGATCAAACATCATTCTGGGTCCAACGTAGTGTCTTCTGCGTCAAGAGGTTATTTGTGATTTAAACTAAGCATAATGTAAACACTAGATTGAACAAGGGGAGAGACAGTAGTTATCATTTTAATGCATCATAATAATCTAGCCACTACCTGAAGCATTTTAAGCACAGTAAATCAAATGTATAAAGCCAGTATGTTTTTAGTTCACTACACATGAAAGTTTATCTGAATGCTAGGTATTATCGCCCTTTTTCTGCTGTTTGTGTGCGAGAAAGTACTGTACCTGCTATGAAATATACACCACCTTAATTTGACATAGGATAAGCGAATTTTTAGGATCAAAGACGTTACTCCATTTTATGAAAAAGACAAAGGTAAATTTTACTTCAAATGTTGTAGAGATTTGGTGCATTTTAGCTTTCTAATGACATAGTTTTAATTGTCTGGAGTCTCAGGGCACGAAAACCATGAGTGGAAATCCCGTGTACTGTATATACCTCCATACTTGCTTTTAACCCCGACCTCATGATTGGTTGAGTGAATGACCGTTCAGTGTTTGTGTTGTAAATGATTTTAAACTAAGAGATTCTCGGTTTCTTGTCAGTTCATAAATTATTCTTAATGCCATCGTGTTGTGAAAGATTGTTATAATTGAATTAATTTGTCATTGTCACTTTGTGTTTCCCAGTGTTGTGAAAAGTTATTTTAAATTAATGATTTGTTCCCGTTTCCATGTGTTGTCGTGTCCACGTTTTCATCAAATTCTCCCTCCGTGTTTATACACTTTACGACGTTTTGGAAGAAATGTTCAGGTAGAAAGTTTTTTCCGATTGTGTTTTTTTTTTTTTCGTGTGCTTTGTGAAAAAGTTGTACAGTATTTACAGAACGAACCTTCAACTTTTGTGACCAGAAATATATTTTTCACAACCTTTGATCACTCATTGTTAGAACAGTTTTATGTTACTACGACTAAACACCTTATCATAGTTTTGTACAAGATGACTTTAGAGTTAAGGGTTATTTCACTACCTGATAATAGATGTTAGTATCCCTTGATATGTCTGAGTGATATTGAAACTGAATGAGCTGTTTTTTTGTTGTTTTTTTTGGCTTGAGAGAAATTTAAATAAGAAATAATTAGACCCGAGAGAGAGGTTCCATTTTCATTTTATTTGAAGATGCTCAGTCTTTTATATAATATTTTTTTGTACTCATTATGTGAATATGATACTTGGTGATACTATGCAAAATATACTATGTTGCAGTGTCAGGTGTGAAAGTTTGTGTGCCTTCTCGTTTTATGTCAATGTTTGGAAATGTGTGTTTAGAAATGAATGTATAATGTACAGTACTTTTAATACATAGTGTATACATATGTGAATTATGAAATGTTATGGTGATGTTTGCAATTTTTTTTTATTCAGATTCAGTATTAAAAAATAGAATGTGACACTGTTGTATGGCTTTAGAAATATAATTATTTTATAATATATGAAGTTTCACCATTCCCCTTGTCGTAGAGAAAATAAATTATATCGACTGCTTCCAATTACACAAAATTCGGCTGCTTTAATTATGTAAAGGGACAGTGCTAGGCTTGGCGAAGTATATGGTAGTACGAGACTTTATGTAACCTAAGACAGTACTAGGTGTAGTATGTGGTAGTACCTGTGTTGGTGTAGTATGTGGTAGTACTAGTGTGGGTGTAGTATGTGGTAGTACTAGTGTGGGTGTAGTATGTGGTAGTACCAGTGTTGTAATATGTGGTAGTACTAGTGGTGGTGTAGTATGTGGTAGTACTAGTGTTGTAATATGTGGTAGTACCAGTGTTGTAATATGTGGTAGTACTAGTGGTGGTGTAGTATGTGGTAGTACTAGTGTTGTAATATGTGGTTGTACTAGTGGTGGTGTAGTATGTGGTAGTACCAGTGTTGTAATATGTGGTAGTACTAGTGTTGTAATATGTGGTAGTACTAGTGGTGGTATAGTATGTGGTAGTACCAGTGTTGTAATATGTGGTAGTACTAGTGTTGTAATATGTGGTAGTACTAGTGGTGGTGTAGTATGTGGTAGTACTAGTGTTGTAATATGTGGTAGTACTAGTGTTGTAATATGTGGTAGTACTAGTGGTGGTGTAGTATGTGGTAGTACTAGTGTTGTAATATGTGGTAGTACTAGTGGTGGTGTAGTATGTGGTCGTGGTGGTGTAGTATGTGGTCGTGGTGGTGTAGTATGTGGTAGTACTAGGCATGGTGTAGTGTGTTGTAGTAGTACTCGGCGATAAGATGAAAATTTAGAAATGTTTCCTTTAACGATTTTAAGCAGATGGTTTAAAACGGATTACGGTCTTCTAACCATGTTCAGGGAAGAGAAAAAGACAATAATTTGAGAACAGAACCTAAGGTGATTGAGGTGTCTGGATCCCATGGACAAAATTTCAAAGTGTATTACCCTCCTAGACCTTCCCTGGGTACGCGTCTGGCCATGTTCGATAACTTGGGCTTGTCTGTCGGCACCACAATTTCAACAGATGGCGACGCTGCAGTGTGTGTCCCATAAGACTTGAATTTGTCAGGTAAGTCACATTCCTGCTGCTCTGCTCCCGGCATCCTCACCATAACGTAACGATATAATGATAAAGTTGACATGTCCCACCTCACACTATCCTTTTGGACAAAATCGCACCTTGTCGAAATTCTTTAAATCTTTATACTGATTAAGGTGGGATTTTCTTTCATCTCCCCTAACCCAACCCCTCGCTGTTAGATAACTGAACTGAGTAACCCCAACAGGTGGGGCTAATAATAAATGTGGTTCTGCGTCTGTTAACGTGCATGTCTGACTTGGATAACAGATAACTAACATAAATAAATACATGAAGATATTTCGCATTAAGAGCTCAAACAAGTTTTCTTTTTTATAGCCGTATTTAAGGTTTTCCTTATGGAAATTATAGCCCCCCCCCCTCTCCCTCCCTCCCTTCACTTGCCTTACGTGGGTAAAGTGTGGAGTCCGACAACCTCTGTGGCAAACACTTGTTAAGACATACACCTGTGTTGAGCAGTTCGCCAAGACGACACGCATCTGTTGTGGAGTGATGTGAACACAGTGAACTCGACGTTTATATAAACATGCTGGTGAACCTGTGAGGATAACAGTTTCTGGTGGAAAGAATTATAGTGCGAGAACTGGGGATTGTACGAAAACCATAGCAAACCATTAAACAGTGACCATTGCTACCGTTTATAATATATATATATATATATATATATATATATATATATATATATATATATATATATATATATATATACACACACAGTGTTTATATACAAAATAGACGCATAAGGACTACAGCAAATGTCGTACACCACTGAAGGAAAATACGGTATGACAAATTTAGATTTTTACCCTTCGTTCAATGTATTTCCAGCAACGGTCACTGTGTCCTGCGGTAACTGGTGTGTTTCATATCAAGTTATAACGCCCGTATTATTAAACATCTTCCCTTGAAGGGGGTCGTCGTGTTTCAACCCGAGTTTTAAACTAAATGAGTCCTGAGGGACACCACAGTACAGTACTTAACGGGGTGGTGTGGCGGTAAAATTAACTAATTCCAATATTATAAATTAATTTTATTGAAATTAGTTAATTTTACCGCCACACCACCCCGTTAAGTACTGTACTGCTGTTTCCCTCAAGACTCATTTAGTTTAAAACTCGGGTTGAAACACGACGACCCCCTTCAAGGGAAGATGTTGTTTAATAATACGGGCGTAAGTGTTTTCTTCGAGGGTAGTGAAAGTTATGTATATTTCACGTAAAAATATAAATTAAAGTTTACTTTGTGAAGTTGGGATGGGTTACTTTAGGTTAGTCTGGGTTAGGATAAGCTAGCTGAGGGTAGGTAGCATTTTGCTTTATAGGCGTTCATGCTAGAAATATATTCTCTTCAATATAATTCAATCGTCAAAATTGGACAAAGTACATTTTTTTATGGAACATGGGTAACTTTCCTTACTATATATGAAAAGAAAAAGTTAGTACGTATATCATATAAACACCACCACTGCTGCGGAGACTCCCAAGATTCTCGCCAGTGTGCGCGTGTGCGAGCATAAATTTAACTCTAAAGTGATTATTTTATGATGTTTTTAGTGTGTGTGGAATATATGAACTTCCGAGGACTTTTCATCAGAAACGAGTAATATGTAGTTTGTATATTTAATGTAACCTAATATAGTATAAAGTTCAGTTGTCTTATTTAAGGGCTTCTATGGGGAAAGGTCTATTAAAACAATATTTCCTTATATTCAAATCTTTTTATTAGGGGTACCCGCTGACACAACCACCTCGAGAAAAAATGGTGTGAAAGACTCGGGTCAGCGTACACACAAGAAGAGCATTTTAATTTTTAAAAAGTTATTAGGATTTACAAAAGTTCTAGTTTTGAGAACATAAGAAATATTAGAGACTTTCCATTTTATATGTAGTAAGGATATCACATGGCAGTAGACAGTCTATTGATTCCAGCTCTCAGGTTTTGTCCAAAAAATGAATAGATATGAATCCTTGAGTTATTAGATATTTGTGCAGTGTTGCTAATAATTTATTTGTGTGCAGCCACCTTCGGTAGCACCATGACTGAGGAGAGAGTGAAGGGAGCCTCGTCGGCTGTGGAGTTTGGGGACGTTAAAAAGGACAGAGACACGTGGGATAACCAATTCCAGTTCATCTTCTACTGCTTGGGCTACGCTGTAGGATTCGGCAACATCTGGAGGTTCCCTTACCTCTGCTACAAGAATGGTGGAGGTGAGTAGTGTGCAGAAGTTCCTCCCTCACCAACAGTGGTGATACGAAGCCTTTGTTAGGTGAATTACTGTACCAATGAATTAACCTTTTGAATATTGTGTAAAAATTATTTGAGCCAATATTTTTTTCTGGAGACTTTTTTCCAGGGATTAGCCCACCCTGGCACAGGTCACACCCACATCTGGACCTTGGGGGGCGAAAATGTAATAATAATAATAATTCATAATAAATGAAATTTATAATAAAATAAAAGAATAATGATAATAATAATAACACTAATAATAATAATAAAAACCATAAAGAAATAAAAAAAAATAAAAAAAAGATAAAAAGTGAGAAACGATATATGAATGTTGTGTTCCCAATAGTAAGAGAAACAATTGAGACCCTGCAATTGTGTGTAAATGAGACAGAAAGTCAGGTCAGCAACCTGGGACTTGGTCATATATGGCAGCAGGGTCCACCATTTGACAACACATTAAGCTTTCAATATCTTCCCAGGCGGTAGTACCTCCCTGTTTGGTAGCTGCCTACTACCTAACAAGCAACATACAAGAAGGTGTAACAATTTGCCGTGTTCTACTGTCGTGAGTGTCGTCTTCTACCTAACAGCACACATCTCACACTGTATTCCAATCGCATCTAATTCCAATCTTTCATATTTCATCCTTGTGGCTTAAAGAATGAACCAGGCTTTTTTGGAGCACTTTTGGATGGGCGTTCGAGCAGTGACGGGAGAGATGAACTCTATGTGGCCAACGTGTGAGCAGGGCGTGTGACTCGCCTTGCTCCAAAAGACTCCGCGTGATGGGTTAACAGCCATTCCTTTGACTGTTCCTGAAGCCCACAGAGATCTCTTCCTCCTGCACTTCACATTCCGTCTTGTTCTTAATATCCCTGAATAGCAAAATTTTTCGTAAACATTTGTAAGGAGTGTCCCAGTACACTACCTTGTGGTACCCCGCTGTACACAATGACTTCGCGCCATCAATCACCACACACTGCTTGCGGTCATAAAAAAAAAGATCTAATTGAGCCTATTACGATCACCCGAATGTATTCTTCTGGTTTGATTCTCAACCTATACTGAGGTATGTTATGTCAAGACATGCAGCATCAATATTGTGACAGTGCACTAGAATCTAGGTCCACACATGAAGCACCTTTAGTTAGTGCGTCAAGCAGGAGGATCCAGGCATAAAAAGAGAGGTTGGCATTCCTTTGCAATGTTGTTTTGTGGCAGTTGTTTTGTCATGGCATCACGTTCCCTGGGTGGTCCTACAGGATGATGCCCTTTATATGGTCTTACAGGATGATGCCTCTCTCTCACGTGGTCTTGCAGGATGATGCCTCTCTCGCATGGTTTTACAGTAGGACGTTCCCCAATTCCCTACCCATCCAGTATTATTTTGAGCTGGTCAAACTCAGTCTTGTAATAATTGTTCGAATATAGGACTCGCATATTTACATTATCAGGGCCAAGGGCTGTTATCAATCTTTACCATTGACAATTTATTTCTAATACACTCGTTTGAAAACTCGATGTGAGTTTGTGCCGAGTTAAACCGTTTTCCCTCAAATGCAAGAAGAATACGTGGAAATTTTTCAAATAGCAGACATCATAAATTTCGCCTTGGTGATGGTATTTGTCCGATAGATGGCAGTACGTATTGATCTATCTCGCCTTCACTCAACAGTTAGGAGTTAGTAGTAATTCAATTTCAATTTCAATTGTTTATTCCTTGATAGAGGAAGCGGGATCCTAGTGCTGTCACTAGGTACCCCTGTACAATGACACCAGAATCATCTGGCAAGTGTCACAAGTATATACAGTATAAATATTATAAAGGGGCTTACTAAAGCCTAAGGAAGGAAGGATGTTCCTTTAACACATAATCAATATTATTTACAAAATATCTGGCCAGTATGGGAAGGATCATCGTGTCTCCGTCAGGGGGTCGTGGAGTGGTGGTCCAGCAGGCGTCACGGAAGCGTTGTGTGTGGGGACATCTTAGGAGGTAGTGGATAAGGGTGCGGCTGTCGGGTCTTCTGCATAACGCACAAGAGCGTTGCTCAGGGGATGTGGGGATACCAATCTCCCAAGCAAAGTCATACCCAATGATGATACGGGCAGCAATCACGTCCCCCTTCCGCGACCCTTTCCCGTAGACGTACGAGAGGTCAGGAAGTTTACGGAGGACATCGTACCATGTGGGCGGGGAGTCCAGGGGGATGGCTGCTTCCCGAGCTTCTCTCTGTTTGCGGCGGATTTGGGTCCTAATCTGTAAGAGTGTTCGAGGAACAACGTAGTCAGGTGTGGCCTTGTTGCAGCCAGTCTTGGCAAGGTCATCTGCTGCCTCATTCCCCAAGATACCGACATGACTGGGTATCCATAGGAATGTCACAGGGCGGCCTGCATCCTGAAGTGTGGATGTTAACCCTCGTATTCGGAGGATGAGGTCCTTATTTTCCCCAGATCCAAATGCGATCCCGTCGAGAGCAGACCTGGAATCGCAGCAGACAAGCAAGGGGCAGAAACCATCTGCTTCTTCCTCAGCGAGAAGGGCAGCAAGGAGGGCTATTAGTTCAGCCTGAGTGGAGGATGCCCCGTCAGAAACTCTGAGAGACAGTTTGATAGGCTCAGGGGCATGAGGACGGGAGATGTAGACACCAGCCCCGGCCCTACCTGTAGCGGGGTCAACAGAACCATCAGTGTAGAGGACGACCCTACCTGGGGACCAGTGAGCGATCCTGGAGAGGTGGTATTTGCAGAGAATAACAGGGTTCACCTGGGATTTCGGGAGCGGTCCACCGAGGGCAATCACTTCAGGTTGAAAATCCAGCCAGGGAGAAGGAGACGAACCAACAGCAGGGGTGACAACAATATCAGGCAGGAGGTCGTGTTCCTGAAGGGCTCGGATGAGTGACCCTCGCCACTGTCTTCTAGATGGAGGTCGGTCTCGAACAGCAGTAGTCAAGTTGGTTTGGACATAGTTGCCCCTAGGATCCCGTAGAATGGAAACGGCAGTTTTTAGGTAAAACTCCTGGACACGATCCTGTAAGGGGGAAAGACCAAGTTCGTTATATAGATAAGTAGAGAGTGTCCACTGAGGAGCCCCAAGGATGATACGAGCAGCTTTCCTCTGGATAACTTCGAGACGGTTGACAGCAGTCCGACTAATGTTGACGAGGGCAGGGGCGGCGTAGTCGACACAGGAACGGACAAAAGACTTGTACATGGTGAGAAGTACAGGGATGCTGGCACCAAGGGAACCCCTGCACATGGTAGAGAGGGGAGCGAGACGCCGAAAACATATGTCTCGAAGATAGCGGACTTCAGGGATCTGACAACGTGTGCGAGTTACATACACACCCAGGTATTTTGTCTCATTAACCCAGTCCAAGGGCGTTCCTGATAAGAAAAGGGGTGGAGGTACAACACGACCGTGCCACATGGCTTTTGTTTTCGCAGTTGAAAGAAGGAAACCAAGTGAATCACACTCTCTGGAGACCAGATCAAGGGCTTCCTGCATGCTGAGGTAGTCAGGGGCTTGGAGGAGGACATCGTCGGCATATCCTGAGTGGACAACTTCTGTCGGCCACGGGAGTGATGCAATGGAGTGCATGAGAGTGTTAAACAAGGTGGGACTCAGGACTCCACCTTGAGGGGTGCCGAGGTTCATTTCTTGAACAGGAGACATAGAGCCTTCAACGCGAACCCGGGCCTGACGTCCAGTGAGGTAAGAGGCGATCCATTGTAGAAGTCTCCCTTTAACCCCTAACCGTGCAAGTTCAGCTAAAATGAGGGCAGGCTGAGCCGTATCAAAGGCTCCCTTGATATCAAGGAAGACGGAGATGCGGGCAGTCTGATTGCAATAAAAGGAAGCAATGGAGTGTGCTGTGCTGCGATGTTGAATGAAACCATTGAGGGAGTTGTGGAAGCCGCCTATGGTGTGAAGAAGGCGACGATGGAGTATCCTCTCCATCATCTTGCAAACACAGGAGGTAAGACTAATGGGTCGATATTTCCCAGGATCTCCCGGCTTAGGGATGGGGATAATAGTGGCATTTTTCCAGTTGGACGGGAGAACCCCATGTTCATAAGACATATTGTAGAGAGCAAGCAAGGGGCCGTTAGGAATATTAGTACAGGCGTTGAGGACGGAGTAGGTTATCTGATCATCCCCAGGAGAGGTGTCTTTTCTAGAGCGACGAGCACTGTCAAGCTCGAACTGTGTGATGGGATGATCAGTGGGGGCAGGGGAGGTAAGAGCAGCACGAACAACAGGCTCAGACGCATCGATGCGGGCCTGCACTGCCTCCTGCATTGGATCTGGAAGTGCCTCAGGGGAGGAAGCTCGTGCCCAGTCCTCCATTAAAGAGCAGGCAAGGGAGGCGGGGTCAGGGTGGGGAGGAGGCCTCCGTCGAGTACCCCGTATAGCATTAATCCGATTCCATACATAAGAGGGTGACGACTGGAACGATAGAGACCCCGTGAAGGATAGCCAGTCCGCCTCACGTATCCGACGGCGCTCCTGAGTTGCAAAGGAGCACCAATTTTTGAAGTCTTCCCAGTCCTCTGGAGACCGAGACCTCCGTATGGCAGAGTGGAGATCACGGGTTACCTGCCGGAGATGTCTCATGGCAGGGATACGATACCAGTAGTTGGTGGCACTTCTGGGGTGACGGGGAGGGCGTGGAGGGGTAGCGCGATTGACAGAGTCATACACGGCATCAACAAAATCAGCGCTGTAAGAGTCAAGGGACTGAGGGACAACATAGGAATCCGCCCAGGTAGAAAGGTATTGGGTAAAGGAAGGAACAGCATCTTGTGTGAGACGAAGGCGAGGGGATCGATAAGGAGTTGATGTCGGGGCAGAGAAGGAGAGCCTGAGATGGGTAGTAACGGCAAGATGGTCACTATACAGAGCAGGCTCGGTGCAGACGGTAGGATGAAAGGAAGTATGACCGTTCAATAGTAAGCCAACATCAAGGAAACT